TCTCCTCTGCATGTATTGCGTCTGCAGAGTCCCATCTGGCAGAGCTGTGAAGGGTGGTAAGGGAACTGACACAGGTTCCACCTGTGCAGAACTGATTACTTAACCCTACAACGGCCTGCTGTGATGCGTTTAACAACTTCTTTGCAGATACAGTCTTTCAGATGAGAGCCAACTTAGACACCAGTGTTGTAACAGAATCAATTGATGAGGTGTCCAGCAACTCTATTGATGAAATTATACTAGTTCACTTTCAATCCATGAGTACTGATGATGTGGACAAGCTTCTTGGTAGATTGAGGAAAACAACCTGCCCTCTTGATCCTTGATCTTCGTGGCTGGCCATCCAGGGGGGAGAAGCTTTGAGGATGTTTCTTAGAGACATCATCAATGCATCCCTTAGGGAAGGTCACATTCCATCATGTTTGAAGGAAGCGGCAGTTAGGCCGCTCCTGAAAAGACCTTCCCTGGACCCTCTGGACATGAACAACTATAGGCCAGTCTCACTACTACCTTTCCTGAGCAAAGTGATCGAGAGGGCAGTTGCTCTTCAACTCCAAGCTGTCTTGGAGGAAACCGATTATCTAGATCCATTTCAAACTGGCTTTAGGACAGGATATGGTGTTGAGATTGCCATGGTCACCTTAGCTGATGACCTTCATAGTGTAACCCTGTTAGTGCTACTGGACCTCTCAGCAGCCTTTGATACAATAGATCACGTCATCTTCTTGGATCGCCTGAGGAGGTTAGTAATTGGAGGAATTGCATTGCAATGGTTCCGTTCCTTCCTCTTGGGCAGATTCCAGAGGGTGAAGCTCAGGAACAGTCACTCGGCAAGAAAAGAGCTTAATTGTGGCATCCCACAAGGCGCCATCCTGTCCCCGATGCTATTTAATATATATATATATATATATATATATATATATATATATATATATATATATATATATATATATATATATATATATATATATGAAGCCGTTGGGAGAGATCATCTGGAGACATGGGGCGGAGTGCTATCAGTACACCAATGACACCCAGATATATTTCTCCATGTCTCAGTCCTCAGCTTTGACTTCAAATGGCGTCTCTCCTCTCAATGACTGTCTTAAGGCAGTAATGGACTGGATGAGGAAAAACAGATTGAGACTGAATCCAGACAAAATGGAGGTACTTACAGTAGCGGCCCTGAACCCAGGTATTGGGCTGCCACCTCCAGTCCTAGATGGGGTCACACTAAGGACTGTGTTCGCAATCTGGAGATGCTCCTGGACTTGTCGCTTCAGATGTTAAATCAGGTAAATGCAATGGTCAGGAGTGCCTGTTATCAGCTGTGGCTAATACGCCAGCTGCACCCTTTCCTGGAAGTTAAGGACCTTGAAACTGTGGTGCATGCTCTGGTAACCTCTCATCTTGATTTCTGTAATGTGTTCTACATGGGGCTAGCCTTGTACATGGTCCGGAAACTTCAACTAGTACAGAATATGGCAGCCAGGTTGGTTTCAGGAACAAGAAGAAGAGACCATATAACAGCGATCCTAAAATCACTTCACTGGCTGCCCATTAGTTTCCGGGCACAGTACAAGGTGTTGGTTATCACCTTTAAAGCCCTAAATGGCTTGGGTCCAACCTATCTTCGGGACTGCCTCCTTCCATATAATCCACCCAGTGCACTTAGGTCCTCTGGGAGGAATCTGTTGCAGCCAATAAAAACTAGACTGTCTGCAACCGTCCAGAGGACATTTTCAACTACCGGCTCTGCCAGATGAGATCCGTCATATTACCACCTTAGACAGCTTTAAAAAGGCTTTTAAGACATATCTCTTCCAGCAGGCCTTTCCCAAATAGATATCCCAGCCATCAAAAGACAGCCATCCTTCTCATCCCTGATTGGCTGTAGCTATTATTTGTTTCTTTGTTTTTGTGTTATTATTTAAATGTGTTTTAAATTGTTA